GCGCTGGGACCTCCAGATCCCCCCCTCACCCCAGCCCCAAGGATCCGGCAAACCCGGCACGGAACCCCCTCGCCCGCGGTCTGTGGGTGGAGGGACGCCCCGGTTAACCGCGGCAGAGGGGTGACGCTCCTGGGACAGACCCTGGATCCAGGAGGTCTGGATCGAGCCACGCTTCACCCCAGGACAACAGGCGGTTACCAGTGGCGTTTCCCACCCTGGTGGGTCAGTCACTGATGTGCAGAAAAAAACCCCTTTCTTTTCCCCACCTCGCTGGCATTTCGCTCGCTAAACAGCCGGTAGCAACGCCCCTTGCTCGCTGTCTCTTCAGGAGGCAGGCAGGGAATTTTCCTCCCTGCACAGGCAGTACTCCAGAGCCTTCCCCAGCCCCCGCCCCGCTCTTTATCTTGCCACGCAAGGTACATACGAGCTCTGGCGATTAAGTTCTTTCTGGCTCCAATTTGCTAGCGACAGCTTGTCATTTAAACGTTGTCTGGCAAGCCTGAAACACTGCACGCCAGCAAACGCTGCCTTTGGTCTCGCCTGATAACCGTGTCCGGAGGCTGCTCTGACAACCCTGGGGTCTGTCTGGAGGTCAAGGAGGAAGGCGGGTGAAGAAAAAAGCCAGGGGAGATACCTCCCAGCTCAGGGATCATCTCCGAGGTTGGCCCTTCAGCACTTCTAATAGCCCAACCTGCCAGCTGTGGATTGAAATCCCCTGGCTCTATTCTTGCCCTTAAAGCTCAGAGGAAAAAAAAAAAAAAACCACTTAAATCCTACAGTAAAAAGGAGACCTTCCTTTGAAATTGAAACATTTCTAAGCCTTCCTCTGAAAGAAGCGGGGAACACAGTCCTGCCTTTGCTCCCGGCGATTTAAAGCACATCCAGAGACTGCCGTGACGTCCGGGCACTGCATGATGTTCCTCACAAGCCCGGTGTCTGCCTCGCTGCTGCGACGAGCAGAGAAAGGGCCACCGAAGACAAGCACAGAGCAAGCCGGCATCGCTGCCTGACTTACCCACCCACCCACCCAGAACTACTTCGACCTATTCAGAAGAAATCATTTGTACCTTAACGATTTCGGAAAATGGTATCAAGAAATTAGAAATCAGTACAAGTTACCCCGTAACAAACCACCGGACAGAAGCAATCCCTCATCGAGGAGATACTACTTGGTCAGGCAGCTGTTCCAACAGGTTTTGCTACAGGAATTAGGCCTTGTAAACCTTCTATTTCTTTAGAAAAAACCCAAAACCCAGGACTGCAGATATAACCTAACTGACCATGTATCTGGGTATCCATGAAGCTTTGGACAGAACTTTTTTTAGAAGGTCTTAAGCAAATTAAGCTCTTGGGGAGTAACAGGGAAAGTTTTCTCACAGAAAAGCAACTGGCTGAAGACACGGGATGCTAAAGACAAACTCCTACGTTTTCAAAACAGGAGGAAGGCGACAGCAGAACCCCCTTCGTTCCTGCGTGTACGGGACCGTTCAGCACATCTGTAAGTGGACTGGAGAAGCGGTGCCTCGCTCCCTGCCACTTGGGCCGGGGCAGCAGCGTCTCTCCGGCCGGCTTTGAAGGGCCGCGGCTGGACACAGCAGGAACGCAACGCCAACCCAGCAAGGCAACGGGGAGGGGAAGGAGGCAGCTGCAGACAACGTCATGCTCCAAGTCAGCAGGTCTGACTTAAACACTCAAGTGTCTGTGGATAATGCTCTGCGAGTCATTGCTCAATACTCGAGAACAGTCCACAAAGAAATAGCTTTGTTATTTACTTTTTTTTTAATCCCTTAAACTAAGCAGCAGGAAAGATTTACTGCTGTACAAATGCACCTTGAACATCACGTGTAGTTCTGGTCACCTCTGCTGAGGCACAGAAAGGAGGCACAATAAGATGAAACAACTTCTGGGAGGCACAGAAAGGACTGTGCCACCCCGTCAGCCCTTTGGCCAAGATTAAAATCTGTGCTTTGCCAACAATTTTGAGAAAGCACTGCTACGATTCACCTGCTGCCTGGTGTAACACCTCTGCCTTAGTACCAGGCTACAAGGAAGACTAGGAAGGTATCAGGGGATTTTATTTCAAAGCCAAGTTTGATTCCCAAGCACAACTTCACAGCGTGAGGGGACAGAAATAAATAATAATAAATTTAAAAAAAAAAAAAAAAATCAAGGCAAGTCTTATCTGTTACCTTTTATTGACAAAACGCTGAAGATAAGAGTGAGCGAACGTGCTGCTCACAGCGAGTTTCCAATAACACAACAGCACAGTGGCAGGCGTGAGAAGCCCCTGCAGTCCCTTTTACATCATTTTGACTGAAACGAGCCTGAAGCGTTCAAAATATCTACATTTTGGCTCAAGCTCTTAAAGAGCTCCGGCCTTTGGGAAGCGGGAGCATTCTTGCAAATACCAGAGTAGGAATAAAGTTTCATACTCAGCCTAGATCCTACGTGAAGATACTTTTCAACACGAGCCTCCCGTGTTCCAGGCGGCAGGCGAGGCTGGCGGGTCCCATCGGGGACCTGACAGCACGAACGTCCTGCCGCTCATCAGTCAAGGGCTGGTGAGGAAAGCACGGCGGAGCACGGGCTGCCCACTGCACTCCAGACTTACAAACGTACCCAGCAGCAGTGATGCTCCCTCCTCTGGTCACTTGACGGGATCCAAAAGCTCCAGTAGTGGCTGTTGTTTTCGACTGGAGACACCACCCCTCTTGTGGGACAGCCTGACAGTCTCGGAGGGGGTGGTACGAGGGGGCTGGGCTCTGGTTCCAGGAGGTGCCACGAACTCACCCCCATGCGACGACACACCAGGCAGCAAAAGCAGCAGGTCCCAGCCAAAGGTCCCACCACGGGAGAACCTCAGCCACCACCGCTCCAGCTCCCGTCAAGCCTGTGCCACCACACCTTCAGGCTGCACGCCCGGCACCCAAACGCTTGCCAGCAAACGTTTCCTGAAGCCAGCAGGGGAAATTTGTAGAGAGAACCGAAACTGGTATCTGGGCAAGCAGCTCTTTTCCCCTTTTAAATTTCCTCAATTTCCTCTTTTACTTCTGCGTCAGCCCCCCTAAGGCACCCTGCCGACAGCCAGCCTCTTCCAGGGGAGCTGCTCCTCTCTGCCCCGGGGTGAGGGCAGCCCCCAAAGTGCCACCACCGCCACCGCTCCCAGCCACACGTGCCAGCGGGGCGGGCCACTGCTTTTTTCCACAGAAGTAGCCAGAGGCCTCCCAACGCCCTGAGCAGAGACGGGAAAAGCCTGTGAAAGCAAGGGGGGAAGCAACCGAGCGCGGTTTCGGGCCAGCAGCAAAACTAAGCTCAGCTCAAGTGACCCACCGCTGCTTGTACGCCCCACAGAATAACCATTTCCTTACAAGAAGTTAAAGGATTCGGCTCCATCTCTCCAAATACTAACCACGAGCACGCACGGTTTCACTTCAGACAGCTGACACCCCAATGGCTACAGAAAAAGCAGTTCTCACCAGCAGGTAAGACAACGTGAATTTATAATTCCACGACCAACACGCACCACATGATTGTTTCTATGTCCCCAATTCTGCATGTACTAGTAATTAACGGCTTTTCAGAAGTAAATTTGGTCGCAAGTCATTATTTCAAGCTCTGCGTGAGGAGGTTTGGAGGGGACTCCCAGACGTGCCCAGTTCCAAAAGTCACTTCCACCACCCGGTGAGGTGGCAGCGAGCTCCCCGCCCGATACCGGCACCGCAGGAACCAGCCACCCCCCTCCACCTTCGGCAGGGCCCAGGAAACACCACGCCCAGGTGTAAACCTTGCACCGTCCCTCTGCGCACCGACAGAGGTTTCTGTGACCACAAACCACTGCTCATCGCTTGGCGCTAACGCCGCCGCCACGAAAACCCAGTGATCCTTCCTCTGCTTGAGCCCGAAAGCGGTGAGAGGGACCAAGCCAAGTCGACAACCATCACGTGCTCCTGAGAGGATCTCCAGCAGCAGCAGAGCTGGTAGTTTCAGCCACCAACAGGTGACATTTGGGAAGCTGTCCTTCACTCGCACTACCTACAGGCAGGCCACATGCTTGAGAAGCAAAGTAGAAGGATTTCCTTTCAATTTTTGCCGTGCAGTAAACAGGGGTGGGGGAAGAACAGGACAAGAAGGTTTATGAGAAGTCACGGAGACTTGCTGTCTGCTGTCCAAAATTAAGTATTTTTGCTTTTAAGCTAACTTAGGATAATTCACGGCAGACAAAAATCGGGCAGATCTTGTTTGACTCGTGCCAAAGCTCAGCACAACCACGCGGATTCATCTCTTCCCCCGCTGATTTCGCAACATCAGGCTCAGACCACGGGAGGCAGCCACAGACCCTCTCTGGACAGACGCAGCCAAGCGTCTCGGGCTGCGAGCAAGCTCAGCACCAAACCCCTTCCCGCTTCTCTCCACAACAGGCAACCTCTAGAATTACCGGTAAAGAAGGGGAGGGGAGAGTCCCTGCTCATATCCCAAACCCCTAGGAACGGCTCTGCGCTGCCCTCCCTGCCCACCACGTCCACGGCACCTCCCTCGTGGCACGGCCAGCTCTTCCCCACAGCAGCTCCCTTCAGGAAGGACCACCCAGAGGCCCTAAAAGCCAAGCGGTGGGAGAGGATACACCACGTTTAACAGCGAAGTGACCCCACGGACGGCTGAGAGAGCAGCTCTCCCCTCCGACAGGCTGCACGCAGCCCGGGAGCAGGCAGCAGCTGCTGGAGGCCTCCACCACCACCACCACGGAGTCACTCACCCGCTTCTCGCGGCCGCCGTTTATTTTAAGGAGATTTTCTCTCTTGCAGCCAACAGGCCTCCATGACAGAGCACCGCTGGGGGCCAAACGCGGCACGCGAGCACGCGTGGGGCTGCTCTGCAGGTCTGTGCAGGCCCCGCAAACCGCTCACGGGGCCGGGAAACGCATGACCCGTCCCCGGCAGAGGCCAGCGGGACCCGCCCGGCCAAACATCAACGCGAAATCCCAGCGAAAGCCGTCAGGAACACCAGAAAGCGAGAGCCGCGTGGGTGTTACCTCCCATCTCCCTGTCGAGCGGCGGGTCATCGTCTGCCATGGAGAAGTCCAGAGACGCTCCTGCTATTTCCAGCATATCTTCATCGCTAGTGCTGCTCTGGAAACTCCCCCGTCGATAGCTTTTCTGATCCATGGCCAGAGCTTCCAAACCTGGAGCAAAGGGAAAGCGTTTAGAGCACAAGCATGAAGACTCATTTTCTAGTGGACTGACGCCCACTTGACGCTTTGTCCTGAAGACCAGGAGGCTACGCTGCTCTTCCCATGTGAAGGGGAAACGCAGCGACGCCACCTGAACTTTGGGCTAGAACAGGACAAATCTGCGTGTCCACAGCGCCAAGCAAAGCTCTCGCACTGGATCCCACATTGCCACGTGCCAGAAACAAACCCCAAGCCCCCGTGTGGCACCTGAACTCAACTGGAAAGACAAACACGGCAGCATCAGGGTGCCCAGGTTCTTACAAGAGGACAAGTTGCACGGCGAAGGCCAGCCCCACAGAGGAAAGCCCTTCCACAGTAAGGGATCCTACACACATGCCCTCTGCTGCTCAGCCCAGCGCCTGCTGGAAAAGGGCTCAAACTGGGTTTTGAACCACCAGCTGCCAGCCACCAGACAGGCTTAATCAAGGCAACGAGGCGGGCACGCTGCGAGCACCCACCCCGAGAACGAGAAGCAGCCCCCAGCTCAGCTGCCGGAGCTCGGGGGTGCTGTCCCAGGTCACCCACCGCCACGGCTCGCACGCGGGTGCGTCAGGGCTCTGGATCATTTTGAAAACGAAGCGTCCTACGCCAAGTCCGCTGCCTGATCATCGTGCCCAAGTGAACACTAACTTCCGCGACTGTGATCTCAAGAGCAGCCCGAAAGCCTCGGATAACGCTTTTCTCTACAGAAAAGCGATTCTAAGTCCTCGGCCTAAAAAGCCTGTCAAGGTATTTCCTTTTTCTCCTTGGTACTCCCCCAAAGACTGGGGATGAATTTCCATCTGCTGACCACGACCAGACGCAGCAATCAGAAACCCCCTCTAACAGCAGGTAAAAGTGACTCGGGTCAACGCCACGTTAGACAAGGCAAGTGACACCCCCCGGTGTATCTTCTAAATAATCTCCACGTGTGCTCTCAACAATTTTTTTCTTTCTTTTCTGACCATTTCAACTCCCACGGTGCCCTTGGGCTTACTGCTAGAGCACCGTGCAAAGCCCATCACGGAGGAAGGATCCTTGCAGCACAAGTGCGGCCGTGACGCTCTGCAGAGGGGCCAAGCTCACCTACCTGTCCTTCTCCGAGACGTAGGCAAACTATCAAAACAACCCAAGTGAAGGATGATTCTTAACCACCCACACACAAAGCTGCAAAATGCAACGTGGAAGCGTGCTATTAAACTGCATGAATAATCTTAATTAAGTACCCTGACCTGCTGCTGGACCTAGCCATCTCAAGGAGCTCACCGCCCCAGACCACGACACGAGACCCACCGCCTCTCCTCCTCTCCTCTAAGCTGGCAAGGAAAAGCCACCACACCAAGCTCTGAAAACATAATAATAAACTAAGTTGGGAAAAAAAAATAATAAAAAAATCAGGTCTCAGCCTCAAAAAACAGCTCTGGCAACCTGAAAGTGGGAATCTTTTCATCTTAGCGAGAAGAAAGGCCGCGTTCACTTCTCTCTCGCAAACATATTTTTCAAGAGAATTACAGAGGAACCAAATCTGCAGCTCAGCCTTATTTCAGGAAGGGAAAAAGGCAGCCAGCCTTTGCAGACAGTACGAATTACACACTCTGCAGAAAGCGCTTCCTATTACAAAAAAAAAAAAAAAAAAGCCACCACACCACACAAAAAAAGCCTTGGCATCGTACGAAGCGGCGCGCCGGGCGCTTTGCTGAGCTTTACTCTGTGGAACACGGCGCTACTTAACTTTTGAGTCCCGTTCGCTCGTGAAACGGGCGCAGAACACACCAGGAAAAGCGCCGAGCCCTGGCCAAGGGGAACTGGGTGCTCGGGAAGGCGCGGGAGCTGCCCCACGCCGCCCTGCCAGCGGCAACGCTTTCAGCACGCGCGGGGAGCGGAGGCGGCGCGGGCTGCAGCCCCCCACCAGCCCGCACGGAGAGCCGACGGCAGGAGGAGCTGAGGAATTCCAAGGTATTACTTGCCAGCTAACAATAAAAATAATTAGCTGTCATTAAAGCGCTGTGGTGCACCTCTGGGAAGCGGCTGCCAGGGAGCGCAGTGGATGCCGGCTCCCAGCCCAGGAGAGGGATGGCCCGGTCACCCTGGCAGAGAACTGAGGAAACTGTGCTCGTGTGCCACGGGGCTTGTCTGCAGCTAACACAGGTTTATAGGCATTTTCCAACAAGACTCTGTGTGTGTACATACATATACGCGGGAGGGGAGGCTCAAAATCCGCCTGTATTCACACACTGGCTCTGCACAAAAAGCCCGTAGCCCCGCCAGAGGCCGAGTCCCTCAGCCGGCCCACGGCATCTGGACCAACATCACCTCCTGCTCCCCCCAGTCCGTCCCCAATTCGTAGTTTTAAAACCCAAAACCAAGCCAACAAGCGCGCCGCCTCCCAGCCCGGCGCGTACGCAGCCCGAAGGACGCAGCAGAAGGTACCTCCGTGCGCCTCACTCCCAAGTCCCAACACATTCCCAGGGTTTAAGTCCCTTTTCCTTACAAGGACGCTCCCTCTACGGGCGAGCAATGCCTTTCCAGGCTAAACCACGTGCACAAAATAAACCAGACCGCTCTCAGGCTTATCGATGTTCGTTTACCACAATATTTCGCTGGGCAACAGCTGCCGCTTCCCTACGAGGCCGCAGCACCCCCGGGACGCCCCCGTACGTACCGAAAGGCTCCCGGTGCCCCCAAGGCGTGCGCGAGCGAGAAGCCATCGTCCTCCAGCTGCTCCCGTTCACCTCCTCTGCCGCCTTCGGTCCCTCCTGGTTTTTCCCCATCGCAGCCAAGCGAAGGGAAGCCACGAAGCCAAACCCGCCGGGGTCG